AAAGGGCTTGGCAAGCCCTCGTACCAGAGGTGCTAGTCTTCCTGAGCACCCTTACACCCTTGTGAGAAGAATGATTGCAAACTTAGAGTACATTTACAGTGAGGCATAAATGCAGGAATCATGTGTGGCCAAGTAAGTGCCTATCTCTGGTACTCCAGGGTCCTGATGTCCTTTCTCTCCATCTGGAGTCCTTACACTGCTCTACTGGGCTCCATTTGCTAGCTGGATTGCTCAGCTGGGCTCCTTGGGTCTGATTCTCCCCACATTGAATCCACGGTTAGTTCTCTACTGTCAGGTATTATGACATTCCTCCCTTGAGTCACCACCTCTCTGTGTTTGTGTGCATTTCTTTTGCCTCAACTGTGTTTCAAACTCAAACTGACAAATTCTTAAACTGGTAGATGGGGTATCTCCAACTCCTGTGCTGCTCAATGCCATTGCTGATGGTACAAGGAGAGAAAATCCTTTCACCTGCCACCTGTCCCTAGCATAGGCACAGCAAGCATACTCCATAAAGCTGCTTCTGTCCTGGACTCATGAAATTCTAAGATTATATTGATGTTTTGAAGGCTTAGCTATTTAAAGCCCTCCAGAGGGTGGCCATGCCCAGACTCTCCCTCTAATTCAGAGAAAAATGTTCATGCTTCACAAAGATAAGGTATTAACATCTCAATTTCCTTCTCATACTTATTATTTACCGCCCCTTGTTAGGTGCATTCCAGCCTTTACCAAGAGCACATCACAACTGTATTTTAAGCCATGGTCCAGAAATCCAAATTTCAATCCAGAACACCATTTTCTTAGCAAGCTGTTGACTTGTCAAATTTGTCTCCTTCTTCTGAAACCCCTATAGTTAATCCAACGACAGTAGTGACAAAAAACACCAACTGTAACCTTAAGGTCTTCAGTTTCATTTCTTGGACGTCACAATCATCAGTAATGCTCTTAAAGTTCCTTCTGGTGATGGTCATCGCTCCATGAAGCAGAAAGTGTGGTTGTCAGGTTTGACACGTGTTGGGAGGCTTTCTGTAAGGTGGTAGATTATAAAGGCAATAAAAGTGATAGGAGTTTAGAAAATGGAGACACATCTTACACCTAGGGTGACCAGAGAGATTGGGGGATGAAGAAATATTCCAGATGGGCCTTATGATCAGAGATTACAACTGACTAGTCTGACTCACTACTGAATGTTTCAAATTGGATGTCCTATAGACATCTCATTCACAATTGATATTGCCAAAGCCCAGATTTGACCACATCACTCTCCTGATTAAAAAGCCTCAGTAGTTCTGTATTGCCTCCAGCATCAAATACATATTCCTGTTTGGCCTTTAGACGTTTATAATCTTACTCTATTTTACCTTTCTAAATCAATTTCATATTACATCCCTCAGTGTATCCCTCCATTCCAACCAAACTGGCTTACTTTCTGTTCCCTGATATAGTATTTTATCTCTTGCTTCTGGGCTTTTTCTTTGGTTGTCCATATGCTTGGGATATTAATCCTTCCTCCCCCTCTTTCTGCCTTTTAGAATTTCTAGCCACAGTCAAGGTTGGCTTCAGAGATTACCTACTAATACAAGGGCTTTCTCATCCTCCCAGGTGTTAGTCCTTCTGCTATCCCCAACCAAAATAACTATGTATTGACTTTGTATTTGTGTTGCATTTTCTTATCTCTGAACATTTTTATCCTCTCCCTTCTCCATAATTGTCTTAATTTTTGTCTCTGTATTTCTGGGTCTGGCATAGAATAGTTACTTAATAAATTCTTGTTGAATTGAACTGATATTATATAAACAAAGATTTGGGCAGGCCTCATCCCAATGCACGCATACTGACAAATTTGAGTTCTAGATTAAGGGTGGCTATGTCTCCCCTTAATACTCAGAGAAGGGATAGCGTTTTTCTGAATACTTTTGAGTCCCCATGAGTGTGTTTCCCACAATGGTTATAAGTCGATGTATCAGTTAGTCACCCAGATTTAACTAGCTTTTGGAAAGGGGTGTTTTCTAAGGTGATGTAGTAAGATAGTTTGTATAAACATTCCTCAAAAATCTGTGAAATATTTTTCCGTTACACTATGAGCTTCTTGGGAGCAGAAACTGTTTTTGTATTTCTTTGGTTTTTGTTTGTTTTGTTTCTGGTGTGTGTTTCTTTTATATCCCCAACACTTAGCATATTGTAGGTACTTAATAAAAGCTAGTTAGCTGACTGACTTCTCTGAAAAAGTGGGAAGCATTTGGGGTTGGAAAATATCCATTATTATTGGCTAAAATGCTACAAGTGGCCCATGACTCACTAGTAAAGCACTTTACCAACTTCCTCTCAGATATGAGCCACTTGAATCTCTCTTCTTTCTGGCTTTAAGGAGTGAAGAGGGAAAACACACACAGATGACACACAGAGACCAGTGGCACGAAGTGAGTAGCTTCTTGAAGATAATGAGATTGTTGGTGATCACTTTATTCCCAGTTCTGAGCAAAAAAACAAAAACAAAAACAAAAACGTTCAAAATGCAAATTGGATTCCTAAATTGCCTCTTCAAGAGCCGCCCCCCCCCCCCCCAAGCAATCTTTCATTGTCTTTCAGACATAGAGATCTCCCAGCCAGTTGAACTTAGCACAGGGTTTTCCTTCCCTGTCTCACACTTTGGCAAAGCACAAACTAAGGACTGTACTAAAAGTATCTTATTTTTATTGAGCCTTGGTTGGAAAAAGTAAATTAGGAGGCTAAACATTTAAATAACCAACGCAACCTTTAGAAATTGTTACCTTTTGCTTTGGCCAATAACAGAAGTGGAGAAATAGATACACCGTTCTTCCAATAGTTTCTCAGAGGAGCTAGAACCCGGTCACACTCTGCTGGAGTCTCTTAGTAAGGAGAGCTCCTAGCCAAGGAAAGGAAAACACTCTAGACTAGGCTAAGGATTCTAAGTCAGAGTCATCCACCTTCTTCTCTCTCACCCCCTTTCCTCCCTTCCCTCCCATCTTCCCTCTTCTCTCCTCACTTCTCCCCTCCAGCTCGTCCCTCTAATCCTGATCCTGAGATAATAGTACTTGCTGCTCAGCTGGAATTTGCCGCCAAGGGGCTTTTACAAACTTCTGCCTCCTAGGAAGCCGTTAGTCCAGCCTTGCCAGAAGGGCTGTTATACATGCAAGCCCTGAAGTCAAATCTCAGTGGATAGAATACATTTACAGCAATTATCACCCACATCAGTTTCAATATATACTTTTCAGACAGTAAAATAGATAACAGATTTGTAAAGTGTCCTATATAATGTTAATGAAATGTAAGGTCCATGACCCGAGAGGCAGCTATTGAAAGATTAATAAGGATTGCTAGATATATTTAGAGCATGTGATAAATAGGTTCATATCATATCAAAATATTCAGAACAAACAGACATCACTTTACTGAACAAGAGCGAAGGCTGAAAATAGGTTTTCACTATTGGATTTGCCAGATGTACCTGAAATCGGTTTACCTATCAATGCAGTCTATGAAAAGGCTAAGATCCAAGAGTAGAATCTAAAGGCCCTCCAGGGTCAACACCCACATCAATTTAACTGACAATATGTTGACAGAAGTGTTGATCAAGTGGTTGAGTCATATGGATTTGTTTACAGAAATAAAGGTTTATGATGGCAATTAATCACCAGAAATTACTAAAAGGTTGTTTTTTTTTTTGTGAGGCAATTGGGGTTAAGTGACTTGCCCAGGGTCACACAGCTAGTAAGTGTCAAGTGTTTGGTCTGAGGTCATATTTGAACTCAGGTCCTCCTGACTTCAGGGCGGGTCCTCTGTTCACTTCCTCACCTAGCTGCCCCTACTTCACTTCTTTGGACTCAGTTTCCTCCTACATAAAATGTGAGGCATGGACTCAGTGGCTTGTAAGGTCAATTACAGCTCTAAATTTATGATCCTATGATTTGGGCTTGGGCCTTGTGACTCTAAGTTCTGCTCTTTTCACCTGTACTGAACATTGACCTCATTAGAGAACTATGAATGAACTGGGTTTTATTTACCAACTTCTGCTGACTTTTCCCTTGCTCCTCACTTTTTCTTCACTTTGTGTCTCCATTTTTCTCCTTCTTCCCTTGCGTCCACAAATTACACTCAGTGTGTTACTCAAATAAATTTGTCCTGTGCTTGCACAAGGCAGCTAGGTGGCCCAGTAGAAAGAGCACTGGATCTGGAATCAGGAAAATCTGAGTTCAAATTCTACCTCAGACACTTAGCTGTGTGACTGCCGGCAAGTCACTAACTTCTGTCTACCTCCGTTTCTGTAAAATGGGGATACTAACAGCACCTAAACCCTGGGTTTGTTGTGAGGCTCAAATGAGATAAAATTGTAAAATCTCAGATGAAATAAAAATTGTAAAGCGCCAGGCACTCTACAAATGTTATTATAATTATTATTTTCGATTCAATAAACATTAAACTTCTACTATGCACAGGGGATAAAAAAACAAACAGTGCCTGCCCTCAAGAAGCTTACAATCTAATGGGGGAGACAACATGCAAATATATGCAAAGCAAGCTATATACAGGAGATAATTATCAGAGTGAAAGGAACGGAATTAAGAGGGGTTTGGAAAAGGCTCCCTGTAAGAGATGGGAGTTTAGTTGGAACTTGAAGGAAGCCAGGGTTATAAGTGCTGGATATTAGCGGCGATCACTGCTTTTCGGCCGGCTCCCTATTCCTGGGGGTTCAGGGCTTCCAGAAGCCGACTTCTTCGGGTATAACAGGGCCTGCTCTTGTACAAGCCCCGCCCCCAGCCCAGCGGCTGTCAATCACTCACTTCACCGGCCCTCCCTAGACAGCCGCTAGGAGAGGTAAAGGCGGTGAAGCCAATGAGGTGCCGGAAAAGGAAAACGTCTGGCCAATGAGAAGCCAGGATGGTCTGGTTAACAGACCAATCGCGACGCGGCGAACCCGGAAAGAGTTGCAATGTTCTAAAATCGAGTTGTGAGAAAGTGCGGCGGGCTTGGGGAGGGAGGATCGGGCATGTGGGTCCCGGGTGGTCAGTGAGCTGGCCCTAGTCGCGGCTTCGCCGGTCCACGCCGTGCGTGTGCGTGGTCGCTCCGCGTGGAAGGGAGCATCCGGAGGAGAAAAGTCCCTCTGGGGAGAGACAAGTCCCACAGCCTTGAGCGGTACCAGGGTCAGGCTCCGGGCCCACGGAGAAGCGCGGGCCCTTCTTGCCCGCGGAGGTGGCCGGCCCGGGACCATGAATCTGCTGCCCAGGAGCTCCAAGGAATTCGGGTCCGCAGATTACTGGGAGAAGTTCTTTCAGCAGCGGGGGAAGAAAGCCTTTGAGTGGTACGGGAGCTACCTGGAGCTGTGCGGGGTGCTGCACAAGTACATCAAGGCCAAGGACAAGGTGAGGGAGGGCCCCTCCCCCCAAGCTCCCGCGCGCGCCGACGTGGAGCCTCGGGTGTGGGCCTGGGCTCAGCTGTTACTGGGGGGACGGGGTAGGGTGGGGTGGGGGCGGGGATCCCGCAGCTTCTCTGCTTAGCGCCCGGAGCCTGGGGTGGAGAGGCTCCTCCCGTGACCCCGGGCAGGGACCGCCTTGGCACTGCATGGTAGGTGCTAAATAAATGCTCGCTGTCTCTCCCCCGCATCCTTTGGCACAGAGCCTGGTACCTAGAAGGCGCTGAATAAATGCATGTTCTCCCTTTTCCCTTTAGCCTTTAGCACAGAGCTTAGTATGCAGTAGGCACAGAATAAATGTTTGTTCTCTATGTCTGCCATATATTAGTGGCTTAATAAATGTCTATTGATTGTCCCCTTTTGTTAGATTATGAGCTCCCAGAGAGCGACTGTCTTTTGCCTTTCTTTTGTATCCCTGACCCTTAGCACAGAGCCAGACACCTAGTAGGTGTTGAGTAAATGCTTGTTCACCCTTTCCCCCAGTTCTTTGCACAGTAATGGCACATTGTAGGTGCTTAATAAGTGTTTATTGACTCACTCCAGCCCTTTCATTTTTTTTTTTTTTTGTTTTGGCTAGGCAATGGGGTTAAGTGACTTGCCCAGGGTCACACAGCTAGTAAGTATTATGTGTCTGAGGCCGGATTTGAACTCAGGCCCACCTGAATCCAGGGTTGGTTCTCTATGCATTTTGCCACCTAGCTGCCCCCCAGCCCTTTCATTTTACTCAACAGTGTGATATGATAGAAAGAACATTGGAGTGGGGAAGATCCGAATTCAAATCTGGACTCAGACACTTAATGGCTGTGTGACCCTGAACATGTCACTTAACCTCTGCTTGCCTCAGTTTCCTCATCTGTAATATTGGGATAATAACAGCACCTACTTCCCAGGGTTATTGTGAGGATCAAATGAGATGATAATTATCTTTCTGTTCTCTGATAGTAATCTTTAGTTTCTAACAGCACAGACAAGATGAGATCCTGATACTTTAAGAACCCTTATAGGTTTTCTCCTCCATGATGCTCGAACAGTTCGTCCTTCTCCTAGTTAACCTTTATTCACCTCCCAGCTTGAAAAGATTTTTCCTTTGGTGGGTCTTCTCTCAGAAGAGCCCTTTTCCCATCCTTTGTCTTTTTTAGGTGCTGGTGGTTGGATGTGGTAACTCAGAGTTGAGTGAACAGCTTTATGATGTGGGCTACCAGGATATTGTGAACATTGACATCAGTGAGGTAGTCATCAAGCAGATGAAAGAACGCAATGGTAGCAGGCGGCCTCAGATGAGTTTCCTGCAGATGGACATGACAAAGATGGAGTTCCCTGATGCCTCCTTTCAGGTGGTATTGGACAAGGGTACCCTGGATGCTGTCCTGACAGATGAGGAAGAGAAAACACTGGAAAAGGTGGACAGGATGCTGGCAGAGGTGGGCCGGGTGCTGCAGGTCGGAGGGCGATATCTGTGCATCTCCCTGGCCCAAGCTCACATCTTGAAGAAAGCTGTGGATCACTTCTCCAGGGAAGGGTGGATGGTAAGGGTGCACCAAGTAACCAGCAGCCAGAACCAGTCATCAGACACAGAGCCACAGTTTTCCCTGCCTGTCTTTGCATTCATCATGACCAAATTCAGGCCAGTTTCTGGCTCTGCCCTTCAGATCCTTGAGCTGTGTGCTCAGGAACAAAGCAAGCCTGTACGACTGGAGAACACCGAGCGGCTGGCAGAGGCAGTACGGGAGCGGCAGCGGTATGCCTGGTTGCAGAGCCAGCTGAGCCGAAAGACTGGGCCTGGGAGCGTATCCCTAGATTTATGTGATGGGAGCACCGGGGAGCCACGCTACACCCTGCATGTTGTGGATACCCCCGCTGTGAAGCTGTCCAGAGACAATCATTTTGCCATTTTCATCAGTGAGTTGAGATCCTTTCCTGCTTTTCCTAATTGGGTTTGTTTTCAAGAAAATGGGGCTTGGTTTGTTGGGGATGTGTATGTATGTACTTTTACACTAAAGTAGGTCCTAATGATAGTCAAACATAGAGCTCAGGCCAGATCACAAGGTCCCCTAGGTGCTGTGGTCAGGTAGATAACCATCATTGACGTGTAGCCTGGTTTCCTTGGCTCAGAGATCTAGAGCTGGGACAAACCTTAGACACCATCTAGTTCATCTGCCTTATTTTACAGATGGGAAAACAGGCCTGCAAAGATTGAGTGACTTGTTGAAGGTCACACAAGGAGTAAACATCAGGAGGAAAGAGGGAAAGCTCTAGTCACTTAAATTTTCTTTATTGTCAAGCCAGTGACCCTACATTCATTCATTGTTTGAGCAGACATTTATTAAGTACTTAATGAAGCTGAGTAAATAATAATAATACCTAGCATTTATATAGCACTTTAAGGTTTGCAAGGCACTTGACAGACATCTCATTTTATCTTTACAACAACTCTGAGAGATTATTATCCCAATTTTAAAGTTGAGGAACTTGAGGCTAAGGGAAGCTAAGTGACTTGCCCAGGGTCACACAGCTAATAAGTACCTGAAGCTGGATTTGAAACTAGGTTGTCCTGACTCGAGGCCCAGTGCTCTGTTTATTGCACCACCTGGCTTTCATTCAGTCATTGTATTTTTTCAGCACATATTTATCGAACATTTAATGGAGCTCGATGAATAGAAATAGGAATCGTGCTACGGAGGAAGGAATGTTGGACGTGGAGCAAGAGGGCCTAGATTCAAATCCTGGTTGTGCTATTTGCCGCCTGCGTGGCCTTGAGCAAGGTCACTGAATCTCTCTGGGCCTCGCTTCCTCATCTGTGAGATGAAGGCATTGGACAAGATGGGCTCTGAGGTCCCTTCCGTCCACATGGAGATCCTACCCTGTCCTATTTGCCTCACACTGTGATGCTCTGGGTAGATGCAGTGTCTCTTCCTTCAGGAAACTTGACATGAAGGAGGATCAGACCAGTGTGTTAATTGATAGAGTAATAATAACTGACATTTACATAGTGCTTTGGAAGGTTTGCAGAGTGTTTTCTTTACAGTAGCCCTGTGAGGTAAGTAGCAAAGTATCATCAGAGTTGGAATTCGAGCCTCGGTTTCCTTACTTTTTATTCTGTGGTATTTCCGTTGTACCATCTTGCCAACAGAAAGGTTCAAACCAGGGTCCTGGGGGCTAGAGGAGGGACCGTCTCCATCTGGGGATGAATGGGAATGGAACCGGAAATGGAATTTGAAGAGTAGGTAGGATCTTAACAAGCAGGGGTGGAGGAAGGAAAATTCCAGTCAGAGGGACCTCTGGGCTTTTGCTTATGGTGAGTAATCGAATTTGACTTGAATTGAGGTATGTATAGGGAGATGACAGCAACAGACATTTATCAGGTGTTTACTATGTTCAGAATACTCTACTAGGTATAGTATTGGTAAGGATGCAAAGTTGTGATAAACCACAGTCCCTGCCCTTATGGGGTTTAGTTTAGTCAGGGGAATAAAAAAAAATTAGTTAGCTTAGATGTTAGTTAGCTTATATTACATTATGGTTAAGTGCAAGGTAGAAAACAAAATGTGAGAAATCTGAGAGGTCTGTTAGGGTTCTTATAAATAAAAGGATTTTTTAAATAAAAAGAAAGAAAATCAGTAAAACTGATCAGTGCATCAGAAAAATAATTACATATAGTATTCTGCCCGTGGACTTCAACCTCTGCAAGAAGTAAGGGGAGGTGTTTTCTCATTTCTTTGGGGCCATGTTTGGCAATTTTGATTTTGATTATTCTGTGGTGGTTCTTTCCATTTACATTGTTGTAGTCATTGTGTATGTTGTTTTCTTGGCTCTGTTTATTTCATTTTGCATTAGGTTGTGGTAAGTCCTTGTTTCTCTGTATTCTTCATATTCGTTGTTTCTTACAGCATACTAATTAATCTATTAAGTACCACAGTTTGTTTAACCATTCCCCAATCAGTGGGCATCGACTTTGTTTCTAATTCTTTGCCATCACAGAAAGTTCTACCATACATACATACAGGGTATCCCAAAAGTCTTGGCTTAAATAGTTTAAAAGCTTTAATGGCTTAAAACTACTCAAAGACTTTGGGGAAACCCTGTAGGTTGGTATGTGAAACCTTTCTTTTTTTGGGGTATGTGCCTAGTAGAATCTTTGAGGTCAAGTGGTGTGGACATTTTGGTCACTTTATTTTCGTCATTCCAAATTGCTTTCCATAGTGATTATATCAACTCACATAGCTCTATCAACAAGGCACCTGTATGCCTGCTTCTCCTCAGTCCCTCCGCCATTGATTATTCACTTGACATTTTTGCCAGTTTTCTAGGTGTGAAGTAGAACCTCAGAGTTTTTGATTAGTAGCAATTTGGAACATTCTTTCAAATCGTTGTTTTTGTGACTTTGTTCTTTTGGTTTTCTTCCTACCTGTTTTGGCCACTTCTCCTTTTCTGGATCTTCATCTAGGTCACGTTCTGTTGATTGTGGTTGCTTCCCAAGGCTGTGTCCTGGATTTTCTTCTCTTTTCTATGGCATCTCACTTGTTGATCTTATTAGTTCCCTTGGGTCCTGTCATCGCTATGCAGATGGTTCCCAGACCTGTATAGCCAGTCTGGGCCTCCCTCTTGAACTCTCGGCCTTTGTTATTAACTGCCTACTGGGCATTTCAGACTGGATATCCTGTAGGGATCTCAAACTCAGCATAACCAAAATAGAACTCATTGTCTTTCCCCAAAAAATGATCCTTCTTCCAAACTTCCCCCTTACTCTTGGAGGCACCACCATTCTGCCAGTTATCCAGGATCTCAAACAAGGTGTCAGCTTTGACTTCTCACTCCCCCTTACCCATGTAACAGTCTGTTACAAAATATTATTGTTTCTTTCTCTATGATCGCTCTTGGGTATGTTCCCATTTCTCCCCTCATACCACCTACTTAACTATCTGCTCCTCCAGAACTATTGTAATAGCCTCTTTATTTTGATCTCCCTGCCTCAAGTCGCTCCCTACAATGATCCTCACGCAGCAACCTAAGTGATTTTACCAAGGCTTAAGGTTTGACTATATTACGCTTCTGTTTAATAAACTCCAGTGGCAGTTACCACTAGGATCCAATATAAATCACTCTGGTGCTTGGAACTCTTCAATCTGACATGTTCCTGTACTTTGTACACATTACTGCCCTCCATGGCCTCCGTGGTCCAGCCCTGCTGGTTTACTTGCTATCTCTTACCCAGGATCCTCCATCCCTTTCTCCATGCCTTTGTGGCCGGTGTCCCTCATGCCTGGAATGCTCTCCTTCCTCATCTCTGCCTCTTAGTATTTCTGGCTTCCTTCAAGACTTAGCTCAAATTCTGCCTTTGGCAAAGAACCTTTTCTAGTGCTCTCAGCTATTAACGCTGTCCCCTTCTAATTGATCTTCCTTCTACTCTGTATGTATTTTGTGTATCCTGGTTAATTACAAGCTTTCTCCCCCCATTAGGATGTATGCTCCTTCAGGGCAGAGACTTTTAGTTTGGACTTTGTATCCCCAGCACTTAACCCTATACTAGGAACATAATATGTGCTTAATAAATGCTTATGACCGACTGATTATTACTAATAGCCTACATTTCTTCTTTTGAAAACCATTCATATCCTTTGACTATTTATCTATTGGGAAATGGCTTTGTGTCATATATATTTTTTTAAGTTACTTATATACCTTGGATATCATATTTGGTACAAAGATTTTTCTTCCTAGTTGACCACTTCCCTTTTTATCCTATTTGCATTAATTTTATTTGTACAAAAACATTTTGATTTCATGTAATTGAAATTATTTGTCTTATCTTTTCTAATCATCTCTGACACTTGTTTGCTTAAGGCTCTGCTTCTTATCCATAGCTATAAAAACATCCTGATCTGGTTCTTTTCCAGTTATTTTATAATATGACCTTTAATTTTCAAGTTATATCAATTTTTAGTTTTCGGTGGTATATCAAAATGTTGGCCTAACTCTCTCAGATTTATGACAGATTGCTTTCTGGTTTTCCCAACAGTTCTTGTTGAATAGGGGGTTCTTTCCTCAGTTGAGCTTTAAAAGCTTAGGTGAGCCTTCAGCAAGCAAGAGGGAAGGATGATATTCCTAACACAGACAGAAGACTGAGTAAATGTGTGGATTTACGAGAGCACAATATCTAATTGGGTTTAGATAACGGCCCAAGAGTATGGCAGCTGCATGAATGGTCAAGGCACCAGAGCCATCAACTCTAACACTTGGTCGTTTTGACTTGTTTAGTGCTTTGCATACCAGAGAATGATAGCCCCCCTTATTGTGGTGTAGTGTAGATTTGGTTTTGGCCTGGTTCAGAAGTGAGGGAGAGTGGCAGAGTTTCTTAGGCCCCTTGCTTCCCCAAGGTAGGCTGCATTTTGGGCCAAGTCATTGGAGGTATGTCTTGGCCCTAGGTGTAAACATTGTCCCTAGTACCCCTAACACCGAGCCTTTTCTTACAGTTCCCCAGGGCCGAGAGACAGAGTGGCTGTTTGGCATGGAGGAAGGTCGGAAGCAGCTGGCAGCCAGTGCGGGCTTCAGGCGACTGATCACAGTGGCCCTGCACAGGGACCAGCAGTACCAAGGCATGGACAGCATCCAGGCCGAGCTGTCAGGGAAAATCATGGAGCTGGCACCTCCAGGGCTGCCAGCCCAGCAGCAGGTAATGTTGCTGCCACAGCCGCTGAGGCCCAGGAAGGGACCTTTCCCTTGCCCCTGGGAGATCCTGTTGCCCTCATTGAGAACTCAGATAACTTGTGCTTATATGATGCCTACCACCTGTCTTCTCAGAGGTGATGCTCAGGCAGTATGACAGGAGAGTGAGAACACACCATGGAATCAGAGGATGTGAGTTCAAATCCAGACTTTACTATTTACTACCTGTGTGACCTTGGGCAAGTCACTTAGGGTCAAGTTACTTTGACTCTCAGTTTCCTCATTTTTCAAACGAAAGGATTGGACTAGATACTTTGAGGCCCTTTCTAGCTTCACATCTCTATATGATCCCGTGGTCCAATCTGTAGCTCAGCCAGGCCCTTACATTTTTCATTTTCTGTTCTTTTCCTGACCTTTTTGGGCTATTTTATGACTTAAGAGCAATTCTGCTTGAAGGGTGGGAAGGGATATAAGCAAAACTCAGCTCAATCATATTTACTACAGGTTAACATTCTGTACTAATTGGGAAAAGCTTGACCTTTGGCCACAATTAGAATTTGAGCATTTTTGTGCCATCCTGGTCCATCTTCACTACAAGCAATGGATGAATATACAGGCGAGGATTTTTGTCTCTATGTCACCAGTGGGGAAACTGAGGCATCTTAAAGTTTAGTGCCGTGTTGGCAAATCAGAAAGTAAAATCCAGGTATCCAGACATCTGGTCTGTCTTGTAGACCGTCTTGTTTGACCAAACAACTCATTTGTCTTTCTTGGCCAGACCTTGGGATTAAGGTCTTTTAGTTGCCAATTAGGAATTCTTCCTGGGAAGCTCCGGATGTTGTGGTTAGAGTGTAGCTTTTTCTCACTGAATGGGAACACAAAACCAGGGGTCATTTGGTGGGTTATTTTTTTTTAGCTTGGCAAACACAAATATTTCTGTGTGTAAAAAGGAGAAAAAGAGGATTGTAAATGAAACCCTCCATCTCCATCACATACAGCATGCATTTCTTTTCAGAATTATATGCTGAATTCCACACCCTAATTTCAAAGCTGTCCTTGCCTGTGTCTTCCTAACCCTGCATCTCATCTCTTCTTTTCAGTTTTTTAAAAGCTATGAAAACCCTCTTTTCTTTCTTTTCTCCCCCCACTGCCATTTTTATTTTCTTTTGCTGTCCCAAAACTTCCCACACCCAGTTTAAAAAACAAAACAGCACCCTTTGTAACGAATAAGCATACTTAAATAAAACAGATCTTCATTTTGGCCGTAGTTAAAGACGTGTCTCATTCTCCGTTTTGTGTCCATCACCTCTCTTGTCAGGAGATGGCAAACATGTTTTATTATTAGTCCTCTGAAATAGTGGTTGGCCATGGTGTTACCAGGTGGCTAAGTCTTTCAAAACTGTTTGTACTTGCCGTGTTATTGTTATTATATAAATTGTTTTCCTGATTCTGATCACTTTGCACTGCATCGCTTCAGATTTCTCTGAAACCGTCCCTTTGGTCACTTCTTATGGCACAATATTATTCCGTTACATTTCTATACCATCAGTTGTTTGGTTATTTCCCAATTGTTAGACACCCTCTTAGTAGCCAGTTCTTTGTCGCTACAAAAGGAGTTGCCATAAATATTTTTGTATATATGGGACCTTTTCCTCAGTCTTTGATCTTTTTGGGGTCTAGGCCTAGTTGTTGGCAGCTAGGTTGCATGGTAGGAAGAGTACTGGACTTAGAGTTAGGAAGACCATGTTCTGTCGTAAACACTTCATATCGCTTAACCTCTCTCTGCCTCAGTCACTTCATCTGCAAAATGGGGATAATAGCCACACATCAGTGTTGTTGTGAAGATAAAATGAGATAAGATATGTAAAGTACCTTGCAAACCTTAAATCACAAGTATTAGCTTTCCAGACTGCTTTCTAGTTTTCCAAAATCCAGATCCAAACTGGATTCCAGTTTTCCTGAAAGTTTTTGTTGAGTAATGAGTGTTCAGCCCAGTAGTTAAAGTCTTTGGGTTTATTAAAAACTAGGCCACCATGGTCAGTCAATCAGTAAACATTCAGGAAGCGCCTGTATTGTGCCAGGCGCTGTGCTAAGCTCTAAGGAGACAAAAGAAAGGCAGAAGACAGTTCCTGATGTCAAGGAACTTCCGGTCAAATTCAGGGAGACAACAAGCAACAAATATGTACAGACAAGCCATGTACAGAGTAAATAGGAAATAGCGGAAGAAAAGCACCAAAACTAAGGGATTGAGAAAGGCTTCTTGTAGAAGGTGGGATTTTAGCGGGGACTTGAAGGAGGCCAGGAGGTGGAGATGAGGAGAGAGTATTTCAGGCATGGAATATAGTCTGTGAAAATGCTTTGAGGTGAGGGAAGGAACGTGTTGTTTGAAGAACAGCCAGGAGGACACTCTCACTGAATCAGGAGTGCAAGGGGGGACGTAAGGTGTAAGAAGGCTGGGAATGTGTGTCGAGGCTAGGTTATGAGGGGCTTTGAATGCCAGGGATTTAGTTTGATCTGGAGGTGATAGGGAACCACTAAAGTTTTTTGAGTAGGGACATGACGTGATTGGACCTTTACTTTAACAGAGGTGGGGACCCTGTGGTCTTGAGGCCACATGCAGTCTCTTTCATGAGACTTCTCTGCAGTTTTTAAGTGTCTCCCATCTGAGTGGTACCTTGTATTTACTCCATATATGTTGTGTATTCCTTACATGTGTGTTATTCCCCTCATTGGAATGTAAGCTCCTTGAGGGCAGGGGCTGTTTCATTTTTTTTTCTTTGTGCCCCCAGCACCTACCATAGTGACTGACACATAAGTAGGCACTTAATAAACGCTTGCTTGATTCAGTGCATCATAATTTGTTCATCCATTTCCCAATCCTTGGAGGTGTGGGTTGCATCCAAGTTTGTTTTTGTTTTTATTACTGTATCTAAAGCTGATAGGAACATTTGTTTAATAGCATCTTTGTGGTCTTTGTCCTAATAATGTGATTCTTGAATCAAAGATTATGAAATTTTGTGTAGTTCTTATCATTTAATGCAATATTACTTCCCAAAAAGATCTTTTCCAACAAGCAGATGTTAAACATCAACTCTATGAGGGCACTTCATTAAAAGATTGGAGTACAAAGGCATGAACAATAGCTCCTATCCATACATTCTACTTGAAAGATGCAACCTGTAAAAAGATAACCCTTCTCTCACTCAAATGGGTCTGTGATCTCATTGATCTGAGAGTTCCCTTCCATGGTGCAATTTGCAGTCCATCCAGCTTGCCCATCCTATGCCACTCTTGTCTGTGGCCTCTTACCAGTTCACCATAGAAGGTCCACTCAATGTGCTGGAGGTCTTCCTTGCTTTGTCCTGATATCCTAAGGATACCAGTGGAGTAATCTACCCTTCATCCTGTCATCTCTTACTCCTAGCATGGGACCAGCCTATCAGATAACTGTATACATGATAAATTGACGAGGGAGAAAGCACTAACAACCAGCGTGGGCGTGAGGAGTTTCCTGAAGGGGTCACTTATGATGAACTTTAAGGAGCCTGGATTCTAAGGTTATGATGTGAAGTTAGGAGTACATATATTCCAAGCACAGTGGCAGGAGATAGAATGATGAATTCGGAGAATAACAAAATGAATTAGTGCCAGAAGGGGAGTAATACATGTTAAAAGCCTGAAGAAATCACCGGGAGTCAGATTGTGAAAGGCTTTAAATAAAGCCTTTGTATTTTCTTCTAAAGGCAAGAAGCAGTCACTTGATTATGGGGAAAAAACCCAAAAACTTGTACTTTAGGAAGATTACTTTGGCCAGAGAAATTGGGAAGCTGGGACACCAGTAAGGAAGCTTTCACTGTAATACAGGTGAGAGCTGATGGTACCTTAAGCCAGCAGTAGTGGCTGTGTGAGTAGAGAGAAGATTGCACCAATTATCATCTCTACCATTATTGTAATAATCTGTTAATAATAATGTTATTTCTCCATGATAATAGTATCTCCAAAAACAATAGTATTTCTCCATAATCCTGCTAACATTGAATTTTCAACTCTCTTTGACAATTTAATAGTCCTTTACCATATTTTCTTCTACTCTCTCTCCCCATTCACTATTCTCAGATACACATACAAGAAGCAATTATTGTCTCTCTGACTTTTTTGGGGTAACTTGGTCTTCTGAACCACCTTAATTCCTTTACCTGGTTTTACCTTCAGGTGCCTTTCTTGTCTGTTGGTGGGGACATTGGGGTCCGGACCATTCAGCACCGAGACTATAGTTCCTTGAGTGGTGACTATGTCATTGAGGATGTCCAGGGGGATGACAAGCGCTACTTCCGACGTCTGATCTTTCTCAGCAACAGGAATGTGGTACAGTCGGAAGCCAGGTTGCTGACTGATACACCTCATCGAGGTAGGGGTCCTATGGCCAGGATGGTGGGGTGAGGGTGGGCTTAGCATGTCTTTGGGCGTAAGGTGGGTTGGAGAGAACTAGGAGTGTGTCTGTGGATAGAACAAAAAGTAAGCTTAAAGGTGGAGTCTGATGGCTCTAGAATTTTCTTGTCTGTGGATCAAGGTGATAAAGGAACCCAGGAGGTGGTGTTTGCCCTGACCTTGAATGAGGGACTCCTCAGCCATAATGAAAAGTAGGGATATTAGTTCACACAAAAAAAGATACTACCTCACATTTTTCTGGGCAATTAGTCACTTTATTAATAATGCTAGCATTTTAATAAAATAGGTAGGTGACACTGTCGAATGCCAAAGACAATCATGGCAGCAGATTCATGGATTATATGCCCTTGGAAAAGTGGGTGTTCCAGAGGGTGGCAGTCTACTCTGACTGTAATAGTAATAAGAGAGTGAATATTACAATGAGGCCACCTCATTTTTTTTTTTTAATTTATTTTGATTTATCAACAATCACTTCCATAAGCTTTTGAGTTTTAAATTTTTCTCTCCTTCCCTCCCCACATCTCACCCCACGATGGTGTGCAAACTGATATAGGCTATACATATACATTCCTATTAAACATATTTTCACATTAGTGATGTTGTAAGTAAGAATTAAAACCAATAGGAGGAACCACCAGAAAGAGGAAACAAAACACAACAGAAGAAAAAAAACAGCAGATAGTATGCTTCGGTCTGCATTCAAACTCCATAGTCCATTCTTTGGATGTGGATAGCATTTTTCATCATGAGGCCTTTGGAGATATCTTACATCCTTGTATTGCTGAGAAGAGCTAAGTCTATCAAAGTTAGTCATCGCACAGTGTGACTGTTACGGTGTACAGTGTTCTGGATTTGCTCATTTCACTCAGCATCAGTTCATTCAAGTTTTTACAGGTTTTTCTGAAATCTGCCTGCTCATCATTTCTTATAGCATGCCTCATGTTTTAAAGAGCTTCTTCTCCAGGTAACTTTAGGTATTTTGCGTGCAGATCATCTCACTGACTACCTGTGACTTGTCTCCTTTCTCTCCTCTTCCCCTCCATCCCTCTATCTACATTTTATTTATTTAATTTTCATCTACATTTTATTGAAAGAGAAACTTAACCTCTAGTTTGCAGAATTGTTGATTTAGAAGAGACAATAAAGGTCGCCTATTCTGAAGTTGCTCTAATGCAGGATATTATTTTACAACATCTAGCCTCTTCTGCTTGAATACTTCATGCAATGGGCAGCTCACTACTTTTCTGAGGCAGTTATTTAGTAGCAATTTCGGAAATGGAATTTGGTGTCCTGATTTTCTAGTCCAAAAAGTGTTCTTTCTGCTGTATCACACAGTCCTGTATCCTAGCCATCCAAGGGGACTATGGGAAAAAATGTCTAAGAACTCTTCATAGTCACGTATTTTTGCTCTTGTTCTGACGTAAGTCTGCTTGTGACAAGTCTTGGGCTTTAACCTAGTCCAATTTCAAATTTATTTTTCACATCCCCTGTTTAACCATTTGGTAGCTTCCACAGAAGGGGCCTCTCTCTTTCAATTCAGTTGAAAAGTTCGGCTTTCCGTTCAGTTTCAGGTCTCAGTAGACAATTGTTTTTAAAAAGTCTTAGCTGAAAAACAAAACAACAAAAAGAACTTCTTTCCTTTTAGAACTTTTCAGCTTTTCCTGCCTCAGCCAAGTCACTCGACTCTAAATTGTTCGCATTTCATAATCTCTAAAATGAGATAAATGAGGCCGCTTCCTCCTGACTCACAGAGATGTTGGTGAGGACACATGAAACCACATGGGAAAGTGATTTGAGGTATTTGACTGAGTCAAAGTTTACAGAACAAATCCTTTTCCTAAGGGGATTTGTTCTGTGATGTTTGGATTCAGTCAGAGGGCCACACTTGAGGACCTGGGGGGCCACATGTGGCCTCGAGGCTGCAGGTTCCCCGCCCCTGGTCTGCGCACTATCTGCAGGCGTTGGCGTTGGCTCTCCCCTGTTCTAGGAATGCTGTTCCCTAATGCTTCATCTCCCTCGCTTCATTCAAGACTAGGCTCAAATCCCACCTTGTGCAGGAGGCCTTTCCAGGTCTCCCTGCCTGCTAATGCTTTTCCTTCTCAGATTATCTTTGTATACTGTGCATGTGCCTTCCATCTGCCCAGGTATGCACGTGTGTTGTCTCGCCCACTGAAGTCACGGGCAGCTTTTTGCCTTTCTTTGCGGCACCACTGGTTGCCTGGCACATATCGAGTGCTTGGTAAAGGCTTGTTGACTGACTGACTGACTGTTACTCCCATCATGCCTTAGCCCAAAAAAAGCGGAAAAAGGATAAGAAGAAACTCCGGCCAGCTGATGCTCCAGAGAACCCTCCTGTGCCTGCGAGTCAGCCCATTGAGAAGAGTTTTCTGTGCTGTGAACACCACAAGGCCATGATTGCTGGGCTTGCCTTGCTGAAAAACCCAGAGATGCTCCCAGGTGGGAGAGAATGAATGAATGAATGAATGAATGAATGGATTTGGGCCAGGGAGTGCTGCCTAGAACATTATATTTGTATAGGGAGTGGCCAAGTGAAGTGTCCTTGTGGGTAGAGAAACAGGCTTTTGAGTCAGGAAGCCCTAGATTGAAGGTGTGCTTCCAACACATACTGTCGGTGTGACCATAGGCAAGTCACTTAACCTCTCAGGGGCCAGGGAACTCTCCAAGAACTAAAGTTACAGAGAAGTTGTTGATTCTCATTGATGGAAGGAGTTTCCACACTGGGAGTTCCCCAGGCCAGTGGACTCACAGGTTCAGACTCTTTTGCCCTCAAACATACAGGCTGCTTCAATTAAATAGGTACACACTTGATTAACCAATATGTTGATATCTGGGCACAGTTTTGGCATATAGGGAGCAGTTAAATGCTTTTTCATTCATTTCTTTGTAAAGAAGATTGTGATACCAGAATGTTATGTCATCTAGCTTAAGGAACAAATGTTCAGAATCGTACCAATAGCTTCTGTGCCTTTTTGAGAATGACGTAGGTAGTCTAGTGGACAGCTCAGTAGTTTAGTGGATAGACTACAGCCCTAGGCCTGGAGTCCCGCAGCTTCCTCTTTTTGAGTTCGAATATGGCTTCAAACACTGCCTAGCTGTGTGACTCTGGGCAAGTCACTTAACTCTGTTTGCCTCAGTTTCTTCATCTGTAAAAATGAGCTGGAGAAGGAAGTGGCAAACCTCTCTAGTATCTTTGCCAAGAAAACCCTAAATGGGGTTATGAGGAGGTGAATGAGACTGAAAAAACTACTGAACAAGAAAAATATATAGACTGACATAATTGTGTATGTGTTTCTTTGAGCACTACATCCAACTCCTCTTCAGATAAAGGAGGGCCCAGATTAGTTTAGCCTCAAATTTATATAACCCTAAAATGGCTACACATATTAGTCGTTTACTTTTGGATTCCTGACTCTTTTTGTTTACCTTTCAAACATTTTGAGCCCTTGAATATTGCAGAATCTCCCAAATGAGATCAATAATTACTTTGAAGAGTTTGGCCTAACTATCTACACAGGAAAAACCAAGTGGTTGAAGAATGCCTTTTGTTCAGACCAAGGGTGGGGAACCGGCGGCCTCATGGCCACATGTGACCCTCTAGGTCCTCAAGTGTGGCCCTTTTATTAAGGGAATTTGTTCTGTGAAGTTTGGATTCAGTCAGAGGGCTACACTTGAGGATCTGAAGGACTTCATGTGACCTCGAGGCCACAGATCAGACTGTGATATGCAGTTAAATGGACAATCCATAGAGCTGGTCTGTCAGTCTTTATACTTTGGATAGACATTGTGCATGGATAGTGAATTAGGCTAGATTTGAGCAGGAGGAAGGGAGCAGCTTGGATTGCCTTTGGGAAATTGTGCAGTGCTTGATATGACCCAGGCTTCTCCATGAAGCAGAGGCGCATCTTATAGCACCAATAGTCTTCCTGTTATGACTGCAAGCCAGGGAGTGCCACAGTCTCTGAAGTTAAAATTGAATGTCACCCAAAGGGCTGGAGACGTGAAAATCATCAGGGTCTGACTTGCCGGGATCTAAAACCTTGTTAAAGTAATTAAGGGAAGAATTTGCATGAAAGGTGATAGGAGAGTTCCCAAGGCAGTTCTCTTTGGGGGGATTGAGACTTTGGAAAGCCTTCATGCCATCTGTGACTTGGGCAGCTCTGCTTCTCCTCTTTGAGAGTGAGCTCAGGGTTCTTCTTTACCAGGCACATAGTTCCTCTGTCAGTCGCATGGGAAGAATGGTTTAAAGGACCTGACCAGAAAAATGGATGACTGGAAAATAAGATGTATTGGCATTTGGCCAGCATGAAAGATAAACGGAGGACAGCTCTCAGGATGCCTTGGTATCCACATAAGGAGAATTAGAGGCAAGTCCCCCAAAGACATTGAGGGCACCCTCCTAGGGAGGAGTTTTTGGTAGACAAGAACAAGAATTACCCAAGATGAGAGGGTAAGGGTGGGTTACAGTCTGCACAGTTGGAGGTTGTCCCCACACTGATGAGATCACAAATCCATCAGAATATTAAGGTTTTGACGTTTTTGTTTTCCAATTACTCTTTTAGATATACTTACATTGCTTGCATATTAGAAATGATTCTTTCACTATAAATCTCTACTTTTAAAAAAGCCATCTGTTGAAATCGTAACGAGAATTATGATCATTTAGGCCAAGAAGGCAATAACAGCTCAAGTTAATGTCATGTTTTGTAACTGAAAGTGTTTTCCTCATGAAACTTTTTGCATGATAGATCCCCCAGTCCCCATGTTCCCTGGGGTTGGGATGAGACTTTCTGTGTAGGGGACAGCAGAGTGATGTTTCATTGTTTCACCTCAGAGGAGTCGCTGTCGTTACTGGTGGTCGGTTTGGGTGGCGGTAGCCTGCCCCTCTTTATCCATGATCACTTCTTGAAGTCTCACATCGATGCTGTGGAGATCGACCCTTCTATGCTGGAGGTAGCCACCCGCTGGTTTGGCTTCACCGAGAGTGACCGGATGAAAGTTCACATTGCAGATGGCCTGGACTACATCACCAATCTGGCCAGAGAAGGTATTGGTATAAGAAAACTTTGAGGGGAGGGTGTCTGGGAATTCCAGGACTAGGAAAGACCTTGAGGGTTAACCTTCTAGGAAAAGTGACATGTCGTTCATCCCACACTTGTAGGTTTTTATTTTGACCCAGGGATGAGCCCATTAACCCTAGCCTCCTAAAATCTGCATAGCTAGATGAGTAGTTGGCCAGGTGGGTAAGGCGTTGCTTGGCAAAATGACAAAGGGATGGACCAAACATAGCAAAACCCTATTAGGTTGATCTCCTGTGAAGTGGAATTTGGAATAGGGGCAGGGTTAAGGTTCACCTTTGCTATAGCAATGAAGAAAAGCCCCCAAATTCATTGCTGTGATAAAAAAAATGCATTTGTCATTTCTATACTCTGTAGTTGCCTGATACTGGATCTCTTGGTTGCCTCCCAGGAATCTTGGAGCTTTAAAAAAAAAAAACCTTGAAAAAGGCAAAGAGAGTATTTGTCCAGGTCATTGGTCCTCCTGCTGGGGAGCAGGGTCACATTCCCAAGGGATGAGATGTACCTTTATTCCTTCTGCTTAAGATGGGAGTCCTCAGGTACATGCCACCTCTTTACTACATAGCCTGTGTTCTCAGACTTCACTGAAGATGCATTCACTGCCACCTGATGTCATCTTTGGCTTCATGAGTGTGGCAAGTAAATGGATTGGGTTGGAGGCATGGAGAATTTGTTTGGTACTAAGATGGTTAGGAAATATGTCAGACTTGGTCATCAACTCACTAATCAAGGGGTCATAGGGACTGGATCTGAGTGTTTAGTGACTTCCCAGGTAAGGAAGCTCCCTCTGCTAATGGAGGTCAGCATCTTCTCATAGTGTTGGAGCTTTCAGTCATTCCCTTTCCATTAACTTTTCAAGATATCCCCTATGCCTGGAATGTTGTCCCTCCTCTTCTCCACCTACTGACCTCCCTGGCTTCAGGTCCCAACTGAAATCCAGCCTTCTATGGGAAGCTTTCCCCACCCCCTTTTCATTCCAGTGCCTTCCCTCTGTCAACGATTTCCTGTTTATCCTAAATATACAGTCAATTCTCGACATGTACGTGTTTAACTTTCACAGCTTCAAGCATTTGTGTGATTTATTAGTAACCTCATTTTCACTTTCACGTTGGCAACCATGCACATTTGCAGTGCTGATGTGGCCAAGTGAGTATCCTGCCCCCCTGGCTGCCTGTGCTGCTGGGCTCCCAATCCTCAGAGGCAGTGGAAAGGGAGGTTAGAGATGACAGGTTCCCCCTTTTTACCTTGGGCTTTTTCTGACACCTCCGTTTCTGCCCCTCCCCATCCCATCCAATGTTGCCTCTCCTCTCCTGCATCTGTGAGTTATTTCATGGTTACTGTGTTAGGAAACTGAGACAAAGAGAAGTTAAGTAACTTTAATACTCAGAGTCACATAGTAAGTTACTATGGCTGGATTTGAATTCAGATCTTCCTGTCTCTTAAGTTGAGTGCTTTGTTGACTGCACCACCTAGCTGCCTCTAAAATCGTAGGCTTATTTTAAAATGTATTCACATAGTTTGTGGCAGATATCTGTAACACCATCTCCTTCCACGTATGACCTTGCACTCTCGTTACTTCCTCATCCTTCACCCCCTCCCCAAGTCAGACACAAAGGGTATTTGTTATAGGAATTCAAGGAATATTTTATTAGCCAGATGATATTTTCCATTAATTGTGGGCCAATCTTTTCTTCTTCGCAGCACAAGCTCGCTACGATGTCATCATGTTTGATGTAGACAGCAAGGACCCAACGGTAGGAATGAGCTGCCCACCTCCAGCCTTTGTGGACCATGCTTTTCTGCAGAATGTCAAAGGGATCCTGACCCCAGAAGGTATGGGCAGTGTAGAGGGGAGTGGAAATAAAGGAAGGGGCTCTTTTCTCCTTGGTGGAGTGGTTGTTCTTTTGCCTCTTGCAATGTTTCTTCCGGCCCGGTAGTTCACTGGAGAGGCAACTAGTCCTGGATTCAGGAAGACCTGAATTCAAATCCAGCCTCAGACACTTACTGGCTGTGTGATTCTGGCAGGTAATTTAGCCGCTGCCTGCCTCAGTTTCTTCAATTGTAAAAGGGGGATAATAATAGCACCGACATCTCAGGGTTGTTGTAAGGATCAGTGTGATACATGTAAAGTGCTTTACACACCTTAAAGTGCTCTATCCCTAGGCTGAAACTCCGCTCCCCACTTTCTCTTCTTTTTCCTGAAGGTGTCTTCATTCTGAACTTGGTGTGTCGAGACTCAGGGCTGAAGGACTCAGTGCTGGCCAGACTCAAGAAGGTGTTCCCTCTGCTCTACGTACGGCAGATTGAGGGCGAGGTCAATGAGATCCTCTTCTGCCAGCTGCAGCCCGAGCATAAGCTGGCTACCTCTGAGATCCTTGAGATGGCCCAGGCCCTGGAAAGGACACTGAGGAGACCAGGGAAGGGCTTTGATAGCACATATGTCCTGTCAGACATGCTCAAGACCGTGAAGATTGTGTGATAACCAAGGGCAGGCGAATGGAGCGACATAATGGGTGGTTGGGGACAGAAAAGAAGAGAAAAATAACAAAAATAATTTGAAAGCCTCTTGCTTCTCTCTTGTCTTCATAGATTTGCGCTGTTAGCCTCTGCTATGTAATTGTTGGGACTTTGGCTTGCCATGGGGTTTGGGAGAATGAAAGAGGGTCTCTGCCTTCAATATCTCTTGGTATTTGGGCTCCACCTCCCAGAATTCCCCACTGAGCTTTCCTTCCTCCCTGGTTCTAGTCAGCCTCATAACAGGCTACAAACCCTGGGTATTAGGGAAACAGGATTCCAGGACCAGCATTTACTAAGTGCCTTAGGACCACTGGAGCTTAAATGGATCAGTTCCACTTAAATAGGTTTTGAGTTCTGTCTAGTAGATCTTGAGGAAAATCTTGTGTCCATTGAATTCAACAAATGTTTCTCAAGTGTACAGCGCTGAACTGGCAATGATGGAGATACAAAGTTTTGATAAGACATGTCCCTTGCCCTCGTGGAGTGTATGGTCTGATTGGGCTCAGGGAACTGTAGTGCAAGCTCTCACTTACATGCATCTCTTTAATGCACATAAAATCTAAGGGGCAAGTTCAGTGAGGACTTCACGAGGGAGTGGCCTTTGAATTGGATCTTCGGGAATGTGTAGGAATTCAGCAGGCACAAAAGGAAAGGGAAGGGCATTCCAGACACAGAGGATAGCATAAGCTAGGGCATAGAGAGGAGAGAGTCCAAGGCCTGCTTAGAGGAGCAAAAGGGTAGAGTTTGGCTGGAGCCTTAAGTGTATGAAACAGTGAACTAATGGTGTTACAGGTAGGGGTGGTGCCAGATTACGGAGGGCCTTGAATGCAATGGAATCATCTTCAACATCTCACTTGCACTCACCCTCAATATCCAGTATGTTGTCAATTCTTGTCTACCTTCTCAGTGTCTTTTGTGGACGTCCCCTTTTCTCTAGGCACATGACCGCACCCCAGAACAGGCCCTCTATCACCTCTTTCCTGTACTGTGGCAGTGACCTCCTAATTGGTTCCCCGCCTCATCTCTTCCTACTCCAATCTATCTTCCATTTAACTGCCAAAATTACCTTCCTTCAACACAGGTTTGATCATGTTACCCGTCCTGCTTGATAAATTCTGGGGATTCCTTCTTACTTCCAGGATCAAATATAAAATCCTCTGACACTTAAAGCCCTTTGCAACTTGGTCCCTTCCTGCTTTTCCAATATTCTTACACTTTATTCTTCTCTGTCCACTCTTCCCATCTAGCCCAACTGGCCTATTTGCTATTCTTCACACACAGTACTCCCCATCTCCATTCTTTGTACTATTTCCACGTGCAAGCCTATTCCTGGCATGTTCTACTTCCTCACTCCAACTTTTAGCTTTCCTAGAATCCTTCGAGACTCAACTCAGATCTCACCTTTGGCCAGAGGCCTTTACTTCCGTAATTATTCTCTATATCTTCTATGTACATTGTTAGTTGAATGTTGGCTCCCTTGTTAGAATATGATCTTGAGCCTGGGGCCGTGTTTTTTGCTTTCTATGTATTCCCAGTACACTTACTGACACATAGTAGGTGTTTAATAAATGCTTAATGATTGACGTGGAAGGCAATGGAAGACAATTAGAATTTTTTGAACAGAAGAATGCCATAATGAAGCCTGTGTATAAGGAAGACTAGTTTGGCAAAGTACGTGAGGTGGATTATAACGGTGAGGGATTAGGAAAGTAGTATAATAGTCTAAGGTATTAATGAGAACCTAAAGAGGTTGGTGACTATGGAAATAGGAGACATGACCCAGGCTGGCACTTAAAATACAGCTATTTCAGTGGGACATCCACATTTCTGGAAGATTGTGGATAATCTGAGCTATTTCTCTTGCTTGGCCCAGTGCCTACCACATAGTAGGTGCTTAATAGATGCTTCTTGTTGACTTGACTGTCTGTGGTCTGGCACCAAAGTGGTTTTTTAGACGTGAGAATCAATACTGTTCTTAGATTTCATTTGGACCAGAACCTTCGAGGTCTTCTGACTAGTCCAACCTCATTTTACAGACAAGAGGTTAAATTACTTGCCTGAAGTTCACACAAGCGGAGCTGGCATTTGAATCTGATGTCCTTTGACTCTAAATCTAAGGCTCTTTACTTTGGAGCACAAATAACTGGAACAAATCCTACCTCTTCTTACAGGAGGGGGTTTGTGACCATCACCAACCTGGGTTTGTCTGAAATAATAAGTGGACTGGGCTTAATGGAAGACCTTTGTGAAGTGAGTGCAGTGGGCTCGATCACCCCTAAATCTATGATGCCATGGTGAAGGATACCTAGTCCACAGCCCTTCTTTTACAAATAAGACCCAGAGAGTTTCAGTGTCTTACCTGGCCAGTAAAACAGCTGGGTTCTAAATTTATTTATTCCATGCTTATAACCTTCCATATTTTTAACCTTTGTTGTGTGGCCTAAATTTCCCCTCTAGTGGTTTAAGGTCATTCCTAGTCATGTGTTAAGTAGAGGTAACAACTCACATGTGTATAAGAACTTTTCAGTTCCCAAACCCCTTTCCATGTATCATTCATACTTTATCTTATCCCTGTTAGGTTAGAAAAGTAATATCATAGTTTTACAAAGGATAAAACAGAATTTAAAAAAAAATTTTTGAGTTCTGAATTATCTCCCTTCAGCCATTTCCCCACCAATTGAGAAGGCAAGTAATATGATACCAATTATGCTTGTGAAATCATGGACATTTACATATTAGACATATTGAAAAAAAAAAAGTAAAAACGTCATACTTAATTCTGCTCTCAGAGTTCCATCCGTTCTCTCTCTTGAGGTAGAACGCGTTTTTCATCACAAGTCCTTTGGCATATTGATTATAGTCAGCTAGTGGTTTCACTTTCTGCCACCAAAACTTTTTGGAGGAAACCAGAGCAGCTAAGTAACAGATTTTTGAGTTTCTTCAGTCTTGTCTGCCCTCTGGTGGTGTTGATGGGCATTGATGATGGGGGTGGGAGAGGGACAGGAAGGCAGTCAGTCATCTCACAGCCCTCAGATATGGGTCTGGAAGGGACCTCAGAGGGGCAGTTGATCCAACTGCCTCATTTTGCAGATGACAGAGCCGAAGTCCGGGATGGGGGGAGGGAGCTAACTAGGGTCATATCCTGTAAAATGTCAGAGGAGGGGTTTGTACCCAGATCCTGGGAACCTGGAGCAATGGTCAGTGGGCTTGCAGAGAGAGTATTGGGATCCTCAGAGTGGGTTATAATTACAGATTATGGCATAGGATTTGTTAGTCTGTGACCTGGTATTTAGCCTTTTGCAGCTATGCATATTAATTACGAGTCATAAACCATATCCATTAAAGAAGGAATCCTGGTATCAGGAAAAGATCCTTGGCTTAGGACAACAAAGATTAAGGTCGGGCCATTCAGTAGCTATATGACCTCGGACAAGTATCTCACTATATCCAGCCTTCAATTTCTTCATGGAAGAGCACTGGATTTGGAGTCAGGGGACATACTCTAGCCACCTATGTGATTGGGCAAGTAATTTAATTCCTCTGGGCCTCATTTTCCTCATTTATAAAATGAAAAGTTTAGATCAAGTGATCACTATGGTCCCTTCTAGCTAAACCTATGATATGAGAGGAAACTCGGTGACATAGTGGACAGTGTTGAACTTGAAGTCAGGAAGACCTGAGTTTGAATGTGTTCTTAGACATTTAATTAACTGTGGGGTGCTGTGCAAAAGTCATTTATTAACCTCAGCCTCAGTCTCCTCACCTGTAAAATGAATGATAGCATGCACGTCAGAGGGTTGTGAAAATTGAGAGGTGTATGTGTGTGTGTGTGTGCACGTGCGTGTGCTCGCTCGCGCTTATACACACGCATACACATTTATATATATATGCATATTTACATTTATGTATATAAGTATTCTATCAATCTCCACCATCCATCCATCCATCGATCCATCTATCCTATCATCAGGGAAGCTAGGTGGTGAAGTAGGTAAAGTACTGGGCCTGGAGTCAGGAAGACTCATCTTCCTGAGTTCAAATCTGGCCTCAGACACTTAATAGCTAATAACCCTGGGAAAGACACTTGATCCTGTTGGCCTTGGTTTCCTCATCTGTAAAATGAGCTAAAGAAGGAAATGGCAAATCACTCCGATATCTGTGCCAAGCAAATTCCAAATGAAGAGTTGGATATGACTGAATAACAACAAAATAAATACAGTACTTTGCAAACCTTATGGTGTTACGTAAATATTAGCTATTGTCATATGAAGAGTGAAAGGCCCATGCCAGATGATTTTTAAGAGCACAATGCCTCATTTGCATTGTTAATATAAACTTATCTTTATTAGTTGTACTTGTGATTTCTAGAATCACAACATTTCTACCATATATCCTCAGTCAGTTAACATCTAATCTCCACTTGAATTCTTCCAGTGATGGGAAACTCACCACCTATTGAGGTAAGCTCATTCCGCTTTTGGATAGCTTCAGTCGTTGGGAAGTTTCATCTTGTATTAAGCTTAAATCCATCTCTCTACAACTTCTCCTGGTCCTGGTTCCTGGTTTTGGCCTCTAGGCCATCAAGACTGTAATGTCTCTTCCAATAAGATAGCTCTTCCAATGCTAGCTCCTTCACCTTAAGTTTTTTCTCCTACAGGCTAAACATTCTCATTACCTTCAACAAATCACATGGCGTCATTTCATTTGTAAAACCGAACTGGAGGAAAAGTTCCACCTAAAAACTTAAGACTCCTGAGGCTGTAGGGGCTGCTGTTTTGAGTCAAGATGGCCCCTGCTGGTTAAACTTCAAGAGACTGATTAGCAGCGAAGGACAATGCCTCATCACAACACACTTTGCTTATGGTGCAAAGTTGGGAAGTGTGTAGTTCCTCAGACTGCCTCCTCCCTATCCCAACGTAAACCTGTGATTGATTCCATTGCTATTGGAAACTCCTGGTGAGAAAACTCCCTCTACCAATGCCAATCAGCTCTTGTATCTCATATGTTTCGCAATGTGTCATCTTAGAGAACTGCCTGAGCCAACTCATCTTAAAAAAACAAGAAACACAAAAAAACGACCACTTTCGGAATCGATTTGTAGTCTTCTGAATCAGACTCGTCAGATGCGATGGATATTTGTCGTCCCTTATCATCGACTCATAGGTTTGTTGTTGTTGATATCGTTTGTCCTTCCTGTGACATCACCAGCGTGACATCTTGACTTGACCACGAATTGGATTTGAGTCAGAAGGGATCTTAGAGCCCATCAAGTCCGACTTCCTCGTTTTACAGATGAGGAAACTGAGGCACAGAGAGAGCTATCAAGTGACTTGCTAAATGTCATATGACTAGTACGTATTTGAGGCAGGGTATGAATACAAGTCTTCTAAATCCAAGCCCAGCACGCTCTTTACTCTGCCATCTTATGGTCTCCATTCTTCTTGGGGAGATCTGACCTGACAGCACTTAACGGCACCTAAATCTCGAGCAGGACTATGGGGGTTGGATAATCCTCAGGATCGCTGTGTACTAAGCACTGTGCTTGGCCCTGCAGATAGGAAGACGGAGGGAAAAACAACCTCTGATTTCATTGAGCTTGCATTTGACTAAGGGTGGTGGGAGGAAGACCACTACTTGTAAACAGAGAAGACTATTCTGAGTAATTGCAGGAAGGAGGGAGGGAGCACTGGTGACCAAGAGGATCTAGAGAGGTGGTAGCTGAACTATGACTTCAATAAAGCTAAGGATTATAAGAAGTGGAGGTAAAGGGGGAGTCCATTCCAGGAATGGGGGACAGACTGTGCAAAGTCGTGGAGATGGGCAATGGAAGAATAGATATGTCAGTTTGGCTGCAACTGAGTATCTGAGAGAAAGGGGAATAATGTGAAATAAGTCTGGAAAGGTAGGTCGAAGCAGATTGTGAAAGACCTTAAAGACCACCTGAATGTTCATTTCCAGTAGTGAATATACCTGGTCCCTCCCTCCTCCCCCATCAGGAAGGGCCATGCCGTGATCATAAAGAGTCCTTGTTCCCATTTTCTGTATTCTAGTGGTAGGCCGTTGGAGATTTCAGCAGAAGAGGTGACAGGCATGATTAGAGGCTTGGACTAAAAGGCACTCCTACACACTGCCCCTCCCTCCCTGCCCCCCAACTTTCTCTCATGGGGTTTGCTGACTGTGTGTGAGGAGGAAGAGAGAGGCTTGTTGCATGTGATGCCTGCCTCATCTCTGATGCAGTTCTGTAGCATGCAACCTGAACAAGTCTCTATACATCAAGGCTCCTGAGTAGAGGCATCATATGCAGGCCAGCAGTTGAAGTATGGCTCAGATGTCATTTGAATCCAAAAAAACTTGCCAGTAGGTGACAATTATTAAAATATGGGAGAATTGCTAAACGTGCTAAAATGAAGGTAACAAAGATATCATTTTATACCTGGCAAGGTATATCTAGCCTTCCCCACTAAAATCCCACCTTTTGTAGGTAACCGTTCCCAATTCTTTATTTCTAGTGCCTTCCTTCTGTTAATTATCTCCTATTTGTCCTGTTTATAACTTGTTTACATACATTTGTTTGCTTGTTGTCTCTCCCATTAAATTGTAAGCTCCTTGAGGGCAGGCATTGTCTTGACTGCATTTAGTATAGAGCCTGGAAGATAGTAGATGCTTAATAAATGTTTATAGACTGACTAATTGAAGGTCACAGGCATACTAGCTTTGATTTACAGAATCTCACAGTAGGAAAGGTCCTCAGAAGTCAACTAGTCCGATCCATGCTTGGAAGAATACTGCTCTGAATTTGATGGCCAAGGAGCTTTTTATTGGTGTTGTAATTTTAATATTACAGGGAGCATGGTGTAATGGGAAGAGTGCTGGACTCTGAGTCAGGAGAGACGGGTTCAAATCTCATCTCCAACACAAACTGTGGGAGCTCATGGAACCCCCTCCAAGCCTCAGTTTATGCTTTGTAAAATGGGTTTTTTGTTGTTGACTTGTTTTTCGCTTATGTCTGACTCTCCATGACCCCATTTGGGGTTTTCTTGGCTAAGATGCTGGAGTGGTTTGCCATTTCCTTCTGCAGCTCATTTTACAGATGAGGAACCTGAGGCAAACAGGGCGAAGTGACTTGCCCAGGGTCACATGGGTAGTAAGTGTCTGAGGCTGGATTTGAACTCAGGAAGATGAGTTTTCCAGACTCCAGGCCCAGCACTCTATCTACAAGTACCACAAAGTCCTCACCTTAAAAGGCTGAAGTGAGGATAAAATGAGGTCATGCATGTTAAGCACTTGCAAAGTTGTCAGTGTTGCGTCTATGTGAATGCTCTTGCTAGTCTCATTTTTTGGACTCAACCTATGATTTCACTAGTGTGAGGAGCTCCAAAGAGGAAGCATCAGGTACCGACGCAGGTCAGCAGCTGTGCTGCAAAGCTGGTGTCAGACAGCTGCCTGGGCACAAGGGAGGTTATGAGGTGCTTGCCCCAAGGCCACATAACCAAGAGGTGTCAGCTGGGGCTTGAATCCAGGTCAATCTGAATTTGAGTTAAGCTTTCTATCTCAATGCTGCCTATTACTACTGTGTTAAAAACGATCCACATAGACTGCCTTCTTGATAACCTTGTGAGGCAGTTAGTGCAAGAATTATCTTCCCTATTTCAGCATGGTAATAGGTATAGTCCTGGACTTGGAGACAGCA